CACTCCAGTATTCTTGCCTGAAAAATTCCATGGACAGAGGAACCTGGCAGGCTACAGTTCACAGGGTCACAGAGTCAGACACAACTCAGCAGGCACACATGCTCTTATTGTGGAGTGCAGGCTCCAAGCCCTCAGGCTTCAGTAGCTGTGGTGCACGGGCTTATTTGCCCCGAGGCATGTGGAATTTCCTGGTCCAGGGATTGAACCTGTGTCCCCTGCATTAACAGGTGGATTCTTATCCACTGTGACGCCAGGGAAATTCCCCAGATTATTTTTAATTTTATATATGTGTTATGTATCATGCAATCTATTTTACAGAATGTACTTTAAGAAGCATATTTGAATGTTGAACATTTTTTCCTGTTTATAAATATCTAAATCATTGTTTTTAATAACCACACAGTATGATATTTATTTAACCAATTGGTGGACATTGTTTCCAATTTTTCCCTATTGGAAACAGTGCTCCTGTGGACAACCCTGACCATATAGCTTTACACAGTTGTGAGATTATCTCTCTGTGATAAATCCTAGAAGTGAACCTGCTGTGACAAAAGGCACAGGTAGTTTTAATTATGGTGCATATAAAAAAATAGCTGTTTATGTCTTTTGCTCAATTATCATTTTCTTGTTGATTTAGAAAAGTTCTTTACATATTAAGGATATTATTTGGAATTAAAATTTCTAGAAACAGACCCTGAGACAGATTGCCATGAAAGAGTTTATTGGGGAGTGCCCTTGGGATCAAGACCTAAGAGAGGGTGAAAAAAAGCAGGAGTGGACAGAAGGCCCCACTTAGCTGACCCCATGGGGAGCTCTTGAGCTGGAGTGGCCTTTCACGGTCGGTCTTGAGGCAAGAGGGCCAGGTCTTCACACTTCTTTATTGATCGATCGTTGGATGACAGCTGCCCTCAGGGAGCGGGGATGGCCATGCAAAGTGGCTGTCTTCAGCTGAGGACAGTTGTAGGAGAGGAGGCTAGCTGTGAGCTATTTGACACCTACACTCTCTACAGCTAGGGAGACCCCAGGACTGTTGGTGGGATCTGAGCAGTGCACCCCAACATCCACTACAGATATCTCTGACTGTCATGTATGTTGTGGATGTTTTTCCCACTTTGTCATTTTTCTATTGACTAGTTAATAGTTATTGTTTGCTTGTTTTACTGCTTTAAAAAATGTTTTATAGAGTCATATCAATTTGGGTTTTATTTCTTTATGGTTTCTGACTTTTATATCATTCTTAAAAAGTCCTTCCCCACTCCAATATTAATAAAAAATATTCATTTTCCTCCACTAGTCTCATTTTTGTTCCCATTTAAATCTATAATTCTTCTAGAGTTTATTTTGATTCAAGGAGTAAATTAGGTATCTTTCATAGATAAGGACTAATTTTCCTAACACCATTTATTAAATAACGCATCTTTCCCCCATGGTTTTTAAAATGCCATCTTTAGCAAAACTAATTAACTATTTATGTTTCACTTCATTTCTAGTTCACTATGATGTTCTATTGATCTGTCCATACTTGTACTAGTATAACACTGGTCTATTTGATTTTATATTTCAGTTGTCATACAGTAAAACCCACCCCTTGAAATGTACAGTTCTGAGTTTTGCCCAATTCTTAGAGTTGTGTAATCATCACAATCAAGACAGATGAGTTCCCTCATTCCCCAAATTCCCTCATGCTGCCTTTCTGCAGTCAAACCTCACCTCTCCCTTTAGCCACCGGCAATCACTGATGTGATTTCTGTCCCTGTTGTTTTGCCTTTTCCAGAACGGCATATAAGTGGAATTATTCAGCATGTAACCTTTTGAGGCTTGCTTCGTTCATTGAGCATAATGTTCGTACAATCCTTCCCCATAGTTGTATGTATCTACAGTTCCTTCCATTTTACTACTGAGCTGCAGTCCATTGCACAAATTATTCATTCCCCAGCTTAGAAACATTTTAACTGTTTTCAGCTTCTGGAGATGATGGATAAAGGTGTTGTCAATATTCAGTTTTTGTGTGAACCTAGGTCTTCATTTTATTTGGATAAATACCCAAGAGTGGGATTTCTGGGTCATACTTTGTTTTTGCTATGTGACTTGGCTTGTGGGGTCCTAGCCCTCCGACTAGGGATCAAATCCACCCCCTCATTCCCTCCACCCCCCACAACCAGTGAAAGCAAGGAGTCTTAACCGTATAGACCACCAGGGAAGTCCCAGGGTCATACTTTTAGCTACCACATATGTTCCTGAACATTGCAATGCATATTCACATATGAAAAGGAAAGTGACTCCTTCATTACCTTATTATTCTTTTTAATCTTTTCTTTTTCTTTTCTTCTTCCTCCTTTATATCCCATTAGGATATCAGCTGGAGTTACATTGAATGTGCTGATTTGTGTGGAAAGCCACCTATTTTAGGTCATGTTACCTCCTACCAGGGCTTCCCAGGTAGCTAAGGGGTAAAGAATCCAGCTGCCAATGAAGGAGATGCAGGTTCAATCCCTGGGTGGGAGGATCCCCTGTTGTAGGAAATGGCAAGTCACTCTAGTATTCTTGCCTTGAAAATCCCATGGACCGAGAAGCCTGGTGGGCTACAGTCCATGTGGTTGCAAAGAGTTGAACTTGACCGAGCAGCTGAGCACACACACATACCTCACAACAAGGCAACAAGTTCCTAAAACTAATCAAGAGTAGCCTCAAAATCTGATGCACAGACAATTTGTAACTTTGCCAATTGTTCCACTGTTACAGGCAAGAGCAAATACCTCTACCCTTAATGTATGTAATGTAATGACTACCAAGTCATTTCATTTGTATGCAAGCCAGCAAGACCCAGGTGGGCCTAATTCCTCTAGATCAGGTGAGCTGAACCAGTTGGTAGAGTACCCTGGAGTCAGGTCACCAGAAAAGCATAGGTTATCCTCAGAACCACCACTGATTGTTCTCAAGGGTAGTCCATCGTCTTTAGAATCTGCTCACTCTGATACATAATTCAGCATAAATCACAGGGAAAGCGCATCCCATTAGGACGCTGGAATTTCCAGGTGGGAAGAGTCCTGGAGAACTCCCCAGGCTCCTTGCTTGGAGACAAGATTACATTTGAGACGTGAGGAACAAACATTCTTTGACTTCCTTCAACAGTTATTTCCAATAGGTATCAACCCTCACCATCTGTGTCTAAACCAAAACTTTTGTTTTCAACACATTTCCTCCTCACCTTTCCTTGAAAAGACAGTAGCTAACTCTCGCAAAACTAGAACTGCTTGTTCAAAGCCAGCCCTGAGCGTGGTGCTTTCATTGGGGAAGGCGATTATAATTATATTGTTTATCCACTTAGGCACACTGGATCTCAGCCACCTCAGGGACTTCCTTTTAATTTGTTTGTCTCCTTTTGTTAATTGGATAAGATCAGTGAAATGAGGTGTCTCTTAAGGAAGTGCCTGCTCACTGCAAATGCACCAGTGTGGGATTCTCTGGGATTTGCCAATAGTAAAGAAATACAGAGAAGAATCCACACTTCTCACCTGCCCATTGCAGTGAAGAAAGAGCAGCTACTACTCTATGTTAGGAAATAATCCATTTCTTTTAATGGCTCACAAGGTGCTCTGATTTCCCATCTTTTTCAACCTACAGTAGTAATCGGTCTATAGCATGGTTATCAAGTACGACATTTATTCGTCCATCTATGACTATCTCTTTGGACTCCAAAATCACTGCAGATGGTGACTGCAGCCATGAAATTAAAAGATGCTTACTCCTTGGAAGGAAAGTTATGACCAACCTAGGCAGCATATTAAAAAGCAGAGACATTACTTTGTCCACAAAGGTCCATCTAGTCAAGGCTATGGTTTTTCCAGTGGTCATGTATGGATGTGAGAGTTGGACTGTGAAGAAAGCTGAGCACTGAAGAATTGATGCTTTTGAACTGTGGTCTTGGAGAAGACTCTTGAGAGTCCCTTGGACTGCAAGGAGATCCAACCAGTCCATCCTAAAGGAGATCAGTCCTGGGTGTTCATTGGAAGGACTGATGTTGAAGCTGAAACTCCAATACTTTGGCCACCTGATGCCAAAACTGACTCATTTGAAAAGACCCTGATGCTGGGAAAGACTGAGGGCAGGAGGAGAAGGGAATGGCAGAGGATGAGATGGTTGGATGGCACCACCGACTCAATGGACATGAGTTTGAGTAAGCTCCGGGAGTTGGTGATGGACAGGGAGGCCTGGCATGCTGCGGTCCATGGGGTTGCAGAGTTGGACACGACTGAGTGACTGAACTGAACTGAATGCTTTCATTCAGCCCTGGAGTTGAATTGAGCACCTACTTTGGGTTGGAAGTTAGATAGTCCTTGATATGCAGGTTATTTATGATTGTTTAGAAACTATAGTTTGGAGATTAAAAATGAAGGCTCTGAAGTGAAGCCAGGGATGGAACCCAGAAAGAGAAGGAGAATGAAGTCCAGTTTCATACATTCTTTTTGATCCAGCTTCTAAACTGTGTGAGCATGAAGCTCAGCCTTGCTGGCTAAAGCAATGGACAGAAGGCAGTCCTGCCTCTGTTTTAAAGTCTCCTTGCCCTGAGACCTGATTCATTCTGAGGTCATAAAGCATTTATCTTCCAAAACAGTGTATTAATATCTAATTGTGCAATTAAACCACACCTGTCTAGTTCTTCTTTCCTTGAGTTAAATATGTTCATTCAGCAGAAATGAAAAGGATAAATACAAACAAGTCTTTTTTTTTTTCCTGTTTCAATGTGCAAGGAGGGGATGGGTGATAATAAAACAAGAAAGGCCACTTGGAAACTATTAAATGACATCCTTTGTATTTGCACAGCACATTCCTTTGATTTGATGCCATGATGTCCATATGAAGTAGGTGAATATATGCTTCCATGTTGCCAGTTTACAGATTTTTTTCTTTTCTTTTCCTTTTCAGGGTCCCAAACTGCCCTTCCCCTTAACCCTCACCCAACAAAAATAAGTACTCGAATATTCTCTATCTCATAGCTTGTCATGGACATCAGCCTTAAGAGTCAAGTTCTCACCGGTGCCTTCCTATGAGAGAAGAAGCCTGGGCAACTGGAAAATAAGTTGGTAAGTCATCAAAGACCACTGCTGCTTCCTCCTTTTGAAATTTTGTTTTTGAAATCTTAGTGGATTTTGAAGCCTGGGATATATGAAAGTCTTAAAAACAAAATACAATTATGCTTCAGTTAACTAGGATCAGTGGGAGTTCCAAGGGGTAACTAGGAGGAGGCAATGATGTAATTATCCCACAAATTTTTCTGATAGCCACCTCTCACCGTGCCAAAGAGCCATGCAATCTAAGCAGAAGCAGCATGCTTGCTGTGTGAACACAATTTCAAGACCAGCTTCCAGCCTTCCTTCCAGCAGATTGCCAGGCCTTAAGTCTCTTCCTTCAGAGGAAACTATGACTAGAAAAGTATACGAGAATGTCCTCCTAGTAACTGAAGTTTATTGAGTTATCTAATGGTTAACCAGAAAAGCTTATTTGTTTTAGGCTTTGTAGCAGAAAACCATGCTATGTGTTTATTCAGCTCTTGCTTTAGTAGCTAGAATAGCCCTAACACATGTTTGTGAAATGGAGCCAAGTCTTATAGCCCAACCCTATTGCTGGTGCAGAGGAGGCATTCAGCAAATGTTTGATAATATAATTAATTAATAAGGTAGGGAGTGAAACAAAGACAGTGTTTAATTAGTTCACTAGTTTTCTCTAGTCTTATCTTTAACTATGTAACCGACATGAGGCATAAATTACTTGAATATAATAAAAATATATATTTTTTATAAGTCCCATTGCTTGGACTCTATAAGCTTTCAAGACATTCCTTATTACTTAGGTTCATTTAATGTCATCATTCTTTTGGAAGAGATATTGTTTTATAGAAATATTTACAATTAAGAAAACTCCTAAGATGTCTCAGGGGCTTAAAAAAGACAATAGATGTGAGTCAGAAAAAGAAGTGATCATCAATATTCCTGGAGCTTCTGCTGTGTGCCAATCTTGGAGGGTTCATTGGTGAGCAGAACAAACATGGGCCCTGCCCTACAGAGGTACAACTGAACATAATATAAACATAATTACAATTTGAAATCAGATTCTAGTAGTCACCTAAGTGGGATTAAGGGGTGCTAATTTAGTTCAGGAGGATTGGAGAGATCTCTTTAAAGAATAACATTTAAGTGAGACTTGCTACAAGAATAGGAATTAGTTAAGGCAACAAATATTGTCAAGTATTCCCCATAGGGCTTCTCTGATAGCTCAGTTGGTAAAGAATCTGCCTCCAATGCAGGAAACCTGGGTTTGATCCCTGGGTTGGGAAGATCCCCTGGAGAAGGGAAAGGCTACCCACTCCAGTATTCTGGCCTGGAGAATTCCATGGACTGTATAGTCCATGGGGTTGCAAAGAGTCGGACACGACTGAGCGACTTTCACTCACTCATTCCCCATAAAAGGATCAGTCTATGAAAGATCATGAGGGAGAAAGAAATTTGGTACATCCTGGAATTTTACAAAGCACAGAGATCAAGAGCAAGGTAAGGCAGGGCCGGCTCATGCAGGCCTTGCGGGCCACTTGTAGGGGACTGTTCATTGCCTCTGATGCTTCCAGTCCCCTCTCTCCGTCCCCAACACGACCCTGGGCGTGTTCCCTGGAGCTGCAGGTGAGGCTGCCAGCCTCTACTGCCAGGAGCTAAACGCGATGCTGATCCCAGCCCCCAGCTTAAAGAGTGGCTCCTGATTGGTCCAAGCCAATCAGTAACCAGCCTTGCTCTCGTGAGTCTTATTGGGTTAGGAGTGTTCACATGATCTAAAACGGCCCAATCAGATTGCAGAGAGAAGTTTAGATTCCTTTACTGGGAAAACCTTCTCTCTTCTGTCCTTCCAAATACTAAGCCAAGGGAGGAGTCTACCCTCACTTAGATGCATCCAGTGCCAAGTGCAGCAGAGAAGTGGACAGAACCTGGAATCCAAGGAGCATTATTGAGCTGCCCAAATTCAGCCTGAACTCATCCATGTTTCCTTGTTGGTTAAATCCTTGAAATTACCAATAATTTCTTTTTTTTTTTTTTGCCAAACACTGACTTTTCTGTATTTGAGGATCTTATTTTGTAAAAGTATGCTAATGTAGCTCACGCTTGCCTCAAATCTAATTGGTTTAACAGCATTTAACTGAGAATGATTGTAAGATCAATTTGACATGTGTTTTGTCAAGATGTCCTTGTTTTTCAAAATTGTATTGGCTATTCATGAACCTTTTAATTAAAACTAAAATTTGAATCAGAAAGTAAATTTCCAGCAAAAAAATTCTTGAATTTACTCTTTCCTTGGCGTCCCTTGTTTGGACACTATCATCCTAGCTGCCCCGTCTCTCTGGTAAACCCTTTGCTGTGCTGTGCTCAATCGCTTAGCCATGTCTGACTCTTTGCGACCCCGTGGACTGTAGCCTGCCAGGCTCCTCTGTCCTTGAGACTCTCCAGGCAAGAATACTGGAGTGGGTTGCCATGCCCTCCTCTTTTCTTAGCTGGATCTCCTTAAACTGTGGTTGTTCTGGTAGTTTCCTCTGAACTTCTCTCCACATTTTCTCTCTGGGAGATCTCACCATTTCTATGGTTTCCCTCTTCACTTAAGGGTCTGCTCATCAAGTGTTAGCATTTCCTTATGACATCTCCACGTGACTGACAGTTTGAATACCTCCAGTACACTTGCTGGTAATGCAAATAAGTTCCACACTGACGTAGTTTCTCTTTAGAATCTGCAGCTCCTCCTGATTTCCCGACTTCAGAAATACTTCCTCAAAATGTATATAAAGAGCCAGTGGGTGTCTCCCAGAGCCCAAGAACAGGAAGTACAAGCAGAATGCTGACAGCCTTCAGGGATCCAGGCCGTGGCTCCTGGGCACATTCTTGGAAGCCATATCTGCACTGGCTGCGTGCTTCTTCATACTGCAGACTTCTTCCTGTGCTCCTGGGTCTTTGCAGAAGAATGAGGCCAGTAGCAGGTCACAAATTCACCTATCCTACCTTCAACCTCCCAGAGAGAGACAGACCTCACTTTCTCAGTTCTAGTGCCAAGCTGAGGAGAAGTTCTGATGGACCCGCCTCAGGTCAGGTGCCCCTATGCAGGGCCGGTATGTTAGCACAGTGACCCCCGCGGTGACTGTGGAGGGATGGTGGGGAGAGGGCAGCTCCCAGGAGGAGGGGAGGGTCCATTCCTAGAAATGGGAGGAGGGCTAGGCCACCAAAACAATGGGGCTCCAGGACAAGGTCCCCTCCCTGTGAGTGAGGGGACCGCTCTCAGAGAAGGGGTTAAGGAGATGGGGCAGGAATCCAAAATTTTAACCAGGTCAGAGACCTTGTGGTCATTTTTGACTCCTCTGCCACCACCCACCCACTTCCCTCGTGTCTAATAAGACACTCCAATTACTTCTTTCAAAAATACTTCCTAGTTGCCCCCCTGCGTCTTTCCTCTTTGACTTGTGTTTCCTGGTTTCAGTCTTTATTGCCTAACCTCCTGCATTCTCTAATGACCCCGTTGGTTTGCCAGACTTTCCCTTCTCCCAACCATTCCACAATCAGGCTAATCTTCCTAAAATACCTCCTGGAAGAGGTTGCATCTCAGGGCTGAAAAACTCCAGCGTCACCTGGCTGCCTGGACTTCCCAGGTGGTGTTCGTGGTAAAGAACCCGCTTGTATGATGCAAAAGACATGAGTTCGATCCCGGGGTCAGGAAGATCCCCTGGAAGGGGGGCATGGCAACCCACTCCGGTATTCTTGCCTGGAGAATCCCATGGACAGAGGAGCCTGGCGAGTTATGGCCCCTAAGGTTGCAAAGAGCTGGACTCTACTGAAGCAACTTAGCACTCTCGCATGCACCTGGCTGCCTATAGAACAAAGTCCAATCAGCTGGCTCGTCAAGATGGTCTCCAGCTGTAATCAGCATCCTTGATGCCTTCTCAGCACCTGTGACCACCAAAGTCTTTCCATGGCATCTCCCAGCCTCACGAGTGGGGCGCAAGTGGCTTAAGCCCCAAAATGATGCCCCATCAGCCTGGTCCCAGTGACTGGTTCAGGAAAAGCTGTGGAGAGACGTCCACACCAGCCAGTATATTTTCCAGACCAGTGTCACTGGCTCAGGAAATGGTCTGTGAGCCCAGATGACCCACCAGATGAACCATGTCAGGCAGAGGCACAGAGGCCCTTTTTGTTCCTCTTGGACATAAATAGAGAAGCTAATACAGTTCTAGATGCTGCTACCAGCCACCTTCATTCTCAAGAATATCTGAACGCAGGGCAATTTGCCTAAAATCAATTTCCTGGAAGCCAATTTCTGAATCAAATTTAAAAATATATGCATTTTCATTGACTGTTTTAAAAGAGAATATTCCTTCAATTATGTTTATGGCAGATTGCCTTGGAGCCAAGCCAGTGGGTTTAGGATGACGTCTTCTTCAGGAGAAGAATGGAAAGGTGCTGATGTAAGGTTGTTGCTGTGGCCTTTGAACTCTGGATCCGGCCTTGCCTGAAGCCTGCCATGGGGTGCCAGCTTTTCCCAAACATGAGCCAGTCCAGTCCTGCGGAGTTTAACCCAGATTTGGCAGGGTTTTCTGTTAGGAGCAACTGGAAGCATCCTGATACAACAATGTATCTTTCTGAATGTTTCCAAATTCTGGTCCATGAGCCTTCTGGCTCCAACCACACCCGTCTTCTCCCTTTTCCCCAGGTGTTCCCCAGGCTTTTCCGTTGCCAGCACTTTTCTTGCCACATCCCTCCCTCCTGGCGCCCGCCTGTCCCGGCTCCTCCTGGCCTTCCAGAGAAGAACCTCTGTCCTCTCCTCAGGCTGCTCCAGCCCCCTAAACCCCATCCTCTCCAGCTGTTTTGGTCCCAAGAATCGGAGACTCATTTAAATCCCTTCAGAAGGGAGCAAGGCAGCCCGGGCATGCCTTCCCGTCTCCTCTCAAGTGCCCTCCTGGTTGCCTTCTGCTGTCTTCTGCTCCATGCGTTCGCTCTGCTCCCACCCGTTAGCACAGTTCTTGTTCCTGTGTAACATCCGCGGACACACGCCCTCCCTGCCA